TGAACCCTGCGGCTTGGACCGGGAGGCAAGCTCCTATGTCTGTTGGGATCCCTCTACAGCCCTTGATTTAATTCACTGATGCTTCGCAGTCGCTCCCGTGGTCTTTTACTCCCAGGCTGAAGTAGATTGCCGACTTCCGCGAGACGTCTTTTCCCCGAGGTTCCTTTCACAGTGCCAGCATTCCGAAGGGGTTAATAAATAGGGTACATGGGCTCAGGGACAGCCGGCCGTAGGCTGGCCTGCTAGCCCTGCACCCTCTTGTGGGACTGGTGACTCTAGACCCCGCGCTGAGCTCCCGTGGCCCCCTAGCACCCCGACCCCAGGGGCTGCAGCAACGGGCGGCGTTCTGGATGGGGTCTGGAACCCCGACTTCCCGGGCTGCGGCGTGAGGGCAGCCTACTTAGTGTTTCCCAACTGCCAGGGATGCTTCTACAAAAGGGGCCCAGGTGATTCTCGCAGTTAGGCACGCCGTCCTCATAATAACGCCCCCATTTACCGAGGGCTCGCTCCGCTGCTCGCGGGGCTCCTTCATCTACCGAGGGTTTGCGAACGCCCTCGGACCCGCCCTTTATCGTGTCCGGGGCCTGGGTTTAAATCTTGGCCCCATACAGACTGGAGTGTTAATCCAGACAGATTATGTAACCTCTGGAGCCCAGAGTCCTCTCTGGGGCGGAGCTGTAGTGAGACGGCTTCCGGGCTTGGTCCAGAGAATGACCCGAGGCAGCCATCGCCGTCGCCATCAACATCGCGCGGCGCTGAGATTGGAAGACCGCTCCACCGTTAGGCCGGCCCCTTGCAGCTTCGCGGGGCTTTAGAGGCCCAGGGCCGGAGACTCGGCGCGGGCGGGGTGGGGGCGCTCTGGTCACGCCCAGGACAGCACACCCGGGTCTCGGCACAAAGCTCCCCCGACCAACGCCACCGCGGCTCACAATTGCGCCTGCGTGCGGGTCACACTCGCTGCGCCTGCGTAGACTCCGCAGTCTCTGGTAAAGAGTGTCGTCAAGGAAAATCCCCAGCTTCCAGGTAAACAAGCTGCCGCGTGAGGCCGCCGGCACGTGTCCTCTACATCTCCGAGACCTACCAGCCTATGAGAAACTTTAGAGGGCTGGCTGGCATTTACATCCCGGATCCGGGCAGGTCGGAGGCCGGTGCCACAGCCAATAAGAACCTCCAAAGTGGATGGGGGCGTGACTTTCGCCCAGACTCCCAATCAACGCGCCGGGGCGGTCCCTCTCGCACGTGGAGCTGTCACTGCGGGTGGACAGACTGGCCAATGAGAAGAAGACGGCGGCGGCCCGCGCCAATGGCGGCGGGGCGAGGGCGGGGCGGCCGCACGAGGCGCAGGGCATGGGTCGGGGCCCCCGGGCCAATAAGCTTGAGGGGCGTGGCCGCGCGGCGGGTGGGCGGGCCAGGAGGAGCGGGTCCGGGAGCTGCTGTCTCGCTGGGAAGAAGCTGGGGCCTGTGCGTGCGCGCGGGGGTGAGTGCTCGCGGGTGGGCGGAGACCATCGGAGACCCGTGTGCGCTTCTCCCGACTGGTGTGTCCTGTCCCGGGCGGTGTTAATGGAGTGGGGCGGGAGGATCATGCGAATGCAAGATCGCCGCGGTGGGAGCTCAGAGGGTCGTGGGGAATGGGACCAGGAGGGACGAGGGCGGGAGTCTGCGACATCTGACAGATTCCTTGCTGCGCTAGATGCTTGGACTCCCACCGCCTGACTGGCCCAGGGGGTCCTGGGAGGGTGGGGTTCGGAAGCTGAGACCCCTGTTCCTAGGGCGGTGTGGGGTCGGGGTCCCTGAGAGTGGGTGGGGGACGTTCTAGTGCTTGGCTCTACTGTTTGGGTAGGCTCCTTAAACACTTAGAAGATTCAGAGGTTCTGAGGTTGGGAGGAGGCCCTGACAGGGCAGGTGGGAGGGTACGTAGGGTTGACATGGCGACTCCAGAAAGCGTGGTGATACGATGTGTGTGATCCTGAGCCGGTGGCATCACGGCTCTGGATGTCTTTTACGGGTGTAAAGGGAAGGGGTTGAGCCTCGGACCCATCCCTGGGAGTAAAGGTGGAGTAGACACCGTTCTGAGAGAGACCAGAGAGTTGTGTGGACTCTGTGCACGTGTCTTCCTGAGCCCCTGGATGCCAGGAGGCACCAACCTCTTGGTAGAGCTCTGGTCTTTGTGCAAACACCTGGCCCTGTGGCAGTGACCCGGGTATGGTGGAAGAATGAGCAGGTGGACCCCTAGGAAATCCCTGGTGGCTGCTGGGTTGATCTCAAGGACTTTGTGAGCGTGTGAAAACGGACTGAGAGAACTGGGGTAGAGCATGTGGGGAGTGCAGACTGGGTGTCTGAGACCAGGCCCAGGGAGAGGATGGATCTGTGTTCCCAGCACCAAACTTAGAATTGGCTATTTGGCGATCCCTAGTGCTGGGAATCACCACACAGGTGCCCAAAGGGTAAGATGCCAGAATGACAAGCCATGATGATTGCTCAGATCTGAACCCTGGGCTCCACTTTTTAAGAGCCCGAGAACACCTTGTGAGGCAAATTTAGTAACTTCTGAGCCTTGGTTGTGTGGAACGGGGGTAATACCATCTCCCAGACCTGTTCTGGGGATTAAATAAGATGATATATATGTGGTGCTTATCGCAACGCCTGGGTCATAGTTTAATATTTTTTGTTTTGTTTTGCTTTTAGCTAAAAAAAAATGGCTATAGGATTTCAAAACAACTGACAGAAGTGCTGTGGCTGGGAACTATTTTCACATTCTCAAGTTTTTCTGCAAGTTTCGGTGACTCCCTCATTTCCCTCTTCCCGGGCCTTCTGGTCGTGAGGCACCAGCCCAAACCCTCATTCCACTCTTTCATCCCGCTCCCAGAATCCAGGCCCCCGGCAGGGCCGTCTGCTCTGTCCCAGTTCGATTTCCTCATCCCACACCCATTCTTCTCCCTGCCCCTCCTCCCTCTCTGTGCTGCCATAGTAACAAGAGATTCCAGCTCCGTGGGGGCCTCTGGGAAGGAGCAAAGGTGCGTGTTCTCTCGCAGAACCTGGGCCTCCAGCGTCCCCGCCCCAGCTCTTTGGGATTGGGCCAACAGATGTGTACAGTTTCTGAGACGGGGGAAGCCAGTGCCAAGAGCAGGAATAAACCGAGGGGAGGGAGGATGCGAGTCTGGAGAAGAGAGCCTGGCTCAGGGGCGGAAGCGGGGGACCCCTTCCTCCTAATCCTCTCTCCAGGAATCCCTGGCTTTGGGACAGGACGGCTGTCTTTGGCTGGGGGAGGCGCCCAGGCTGGGTGCATGTCCTGGGCCACCAGCCAAGAGTACACGATGTTCCCAAGTGCGCTGGCCGCCGCCCTCTCGGGCTGGCCGCCTCCCAAACCGCTGCCTCTCCAGCCTCCCTGTCCCACATTCCCCGGCTGCCTTGCTCCGCCCTCTTCCTCCGCTTTGACGTCACCACTCCCTCCCGCCCCCTCGCCTCCATTGACGGCAGCAGGGTCTGGTTACTGTGGGGACTGTGAGGCAGGACAGCCGGGGGCCTTGAGAGCAGGTGGGGGCCGCAGGAGCACTCGACCCCTTTGTCTATGCAAAATACAGACCTGGGGTGGGGGTGGGAGAGCACGGGCTGCCCTTGTCAGCGGAGATGGCGCCTAGATCCCAGAGGAGAACGGGGGAGAAAGAAAAACCCTGCTTCCGGAGGAGAGTGGTCTGAAAATTGAGACAAGGGACCGGGCCACCGTCTATGAGTTGGGGGGACATTTCCAAGGAGACGAGACTGAGAATCCAGGCTCCTCAATCCTTTGTTTCCTGTGTTTTCTTGCCTTTTTTTTTTTTTTTTCTGGGTTATTTTATGACATCCCTGTGCCTCAGCTTTTTTTCCACAGAGACCTCCCCCGGGCCCCTCCGCGGGGAACACCATTGTTTAGGAAAGCTTAGGCCACGTGACAGGGAGGGAGTGTACCCACAGCTGATTATGTCAGCCTCAGTTTGGGGGCCTCTGCGCTGGCCACGTTAACGGGGAGCCCTGAGAGGAACTACTCACAGCGGTCTTGGATGGAGGGGCCTGTGTCGCTGCAGTCCCCCCTCAGCTCAACCTGGCACTGTATTTCCCCAAATTAGGACTCAGTGTTCTGCTCCCCTCCCATTTATAAAAAACATAGTTTCCAGCACCTTCTCCATCGCTGAGGCTCCTTCCCCTCCTTTATCTATCCTTGTTAACTATAAAATCACCGTATTTATTGACCACCCACGGTGTGTCAGGTTCTGTCCTGGGGACTGGGGAATGCAGTGAGGTGACAGATGAGGTCCTCCGCTCTCTCTCGTCCTAGGGCTGGGGATCTGATGCCCTTGCCACCTGACCTGTGTCTCGCCAGGGTCCCAGTCGGTCTCTTCCCTCATCTGCCCCCTATGTTCCCCCTGTAGCCCTGGCTTCCTGGCCTCCACTTTTGGGGCACCCCTAACTGTGGGCGGCTGCATCTTCAGGAGCGCAGCAGCGCTAGTCTCTATGTAGGCTTCCTGGAGACCTTTTCTTTGATTGGGTACAGAAGCACCTGGCATTGTTTCCCTTTACAGACCTTTCTGGCCCTGGTTGCGCTTCTGTTGTTTGTATCCTCCCCTGCACTCCTCCCCCTGTCACGCGGGGACCCTCAATTGCCATCCTCCTGGCTGTCCACAGAGTTTGAAGTGTCAGAGGAAGGGGCTGGATAAAATGGCTTTATTGTGATGAGAGGGCTGGGGAGAGGAACCCAGGAGAAGCCAGGCTGGGTTTCTGTGTGCCCCCCGTCTCCCAGGGACCAGCCATCTCATCCAACCTGGCCCACCCCCCACGGGTCTGAATTCCTTTTCCCCATCTCTGGCAAGGCCTAGGTGTCCTGTTCTGTAGGGCCGGACGGTCCAAGAAGTAGACCTCTCTTAAGCACCAACCGTGGCCCAGACATTTTCCCCGAAGAATGGCAGCTTATCTTCCCTCCCGCCCTCCCATTATCCACTGTGCAACCGTCCTGCGCCCGCCGGCTGCGTGGTGGTGTCTGGGGCCTTTCAGCCCAGCGCCAGCACCCAGGTCCACGTGCGCCCGTGTGTGTGACACAGCCCTGACCTCAGTAGGGGCCAGTAGCCAATCAGGCGCCGGGACGGGATCCCCAGCCAATCGGGGGCGGGGCCTGCGGCTCCGCCGGCAGGAGGCCAATGAGGGGCAGTGTCTGGCATTATGCAACCCGCCTCCTGGCCCCGCGAAGCTTCCACTCGGCTGAGCGCTTCAACCGCGGCGGGCAGGCGACCGGAGGGCGCTCGCGCGGCCAGGTAGGCATCTCCAGGGCCACCAGGGGACCGGTCTCCCGCTCCAAGTCGGACTTCCAGCCCGAGGCGCTGCTTTCGGCCCTGGCGCTCGGACGGCACACGGGTAATCCGCCCCCCTTGCCGCTGTCCACCCCCTCTCGGCCGTCGGGAACAGAGATGTTGCTCGCAGCCCTGCAGCGGCTGTGCGCACTCCTGATCCGCTTACCTTACCTCCAGCTCGGACCTCTCCTCGCAGCTACCCCGGCCCCACGCCCGACCCTCGGCAGGCATGTCCCCGCCTCCTTTCTTGTCACTCGGGGGTCCCTGGTTTTGCCCCGACCCCAGGACCCCTCCGTGCTTTCCGCGCTCCCCACACTCCCCCCCCCCTCCAATCCCTGGCCCCGCGCCGGCCGTGATGTAAGCCTGGTTCAGGCTGGAACATCCCGTTCCCGGCGCGAGTTCCTGCTGTTGGCCACAGCCTTCCTTTTTCTACTGGCGCTCAGAAAATGCTCCGGGGGTTGGGGGTGTGGTTGGACGAGGAGCAGGGGAAGAACTCTCCGCTGCCGGTCGCGTGTCCCTTGCTCGCAGCTGAGTGTGTCCACTTCGGATGGGGGTGGGGTGGGATCTAGAAAAGTAGAGGACCGAGGAGAGAGGATTCCCGAGTCCCTGACAATGGCAGGTGCCAGCTCGGCACTTGGGAGTCGGGAGAGGGTGCCGGGGCCAGAGAAGGACAGGCTGTGTCGTCTCGACCAAAATGACTGGGATCCAGGCGACTGCCAGGTTGGGGAGCTTCTGCGCGGAGGGCGGTGGCGGTTGTGTTAAACCCTGGGGAGCAAGGCCAGCCCCTGGAAACCCGATGGGCGGCCCTTCTTCGTGTGGCCTCCGGGCCCTCCGGGGCCTGAGGGTGTATTAGAGGTGGGCGACCGGCGGCCGCGCCCGCCGGTGTGGGAGTGGGTCGATTCCCGGCTCCGTCGGGAAATGGGGGAGGGGTCGCCCCTCCCGGCCTCCTGTGGTCCCTCCAGCAACCGCTGAGCTCAGCTGCTGACGTCGGTTTCCCTGGCGACCGCGGCGGCGGCGGAAGCGCGTGGTGGCGCCGCGCATGTCCGCGCGCATGTGCAGCGGGGGTGGAACCGCCCCCGGATAAAATTAGCCCAAAGGCCTAAATATAGGCGGCAACGGGCATGCCCCCTGCTCCGAGGCCTCGCAGTCTCGCAGTCCCCGGCAGAGTGGGGCCTGATGGGAATTTGGGGACGGGAAGCGTCCGGACTTTGGTTCTGGTCGACTACTCAGTCTCTGTTTTCCCGGGCCACGCTGGCAGGGGACATGGAGGAAGGCCCGGGAGAGGCCCCTTCCTGCCCGCAGTCCCTCTACTGGGATAGGACACAGAACTTGCCCAGGCTCCCTGTCGGAAGCCTGGGTCTTAGGGGTGTGGAGTCAGACAGGGGAGGTCTGAGTGAAGCCGGCAGGTGCTGCGAAGTTAACAGCGCATCTTTCTCCAAGCCCTCCTCCTCTGATCTGCCTGTCCAGGTGCTGCCCGTGATCGAACTTCTCAATCCTCAGAGGCTTGGATCTCCCTCACTCCCGCAGCCAGGCCGGCCGGCCTCCTCGTGCGCTCGTGGTGGCCTCTCCGCCTTCCGTGTTTTCCTCCTGCCATCCCCATGGCCCAGACATGAGTGGACCCCTAGAAGGGGCTGATGGGGGAGGGGACCCCGGGCCGGGGGAATCCTTTTGCCCGGGAGGGGCCCCATCCCCTGGACCTCCGCAGCACCGGTCTTGCCCTGGTCCCAGCCTGGCTGATGACACAGATGCCAACAGTAATGGCTCCAGCGGTAACGAATCCAATGGGCCTGAGTCCCGGGGGGCGTCTCAGCGGAGCTCACACAGCTCCTCGTCGGGCAACGGCAAGGACTCGGCCCTGCTGGAGACCACTGAGAGCAGCAAGAGGTGTGTATGGGTGTGTTGCCGGGTCCCGGAGTCCTCTTAGGAGCGGGCTGAGCTAGAGGACAGGCCCATGCTGTCGGCCACTTGCTCACCTTGGGCCTGCTGCTTCTCCCCCAGCACGAACTCTCAGAGTCCATCCCCGCCCAGCAGTTCCATTGCCTACAGCCTCCTGAGTGCCAGCTCTGAGCAGGACAACCCGTCTACCAGTGGCTGCAGGTTCGTGGGGTTGAGGGCTAGAGGAGAAGCCTGGCCATGGTGGTGGGGGGGGTGCCTAGGCCACCATCTGGGGCTCATGGCTCTACCCCCTCCCTCCCCGTGGACCCTGCAGCAGTGAACAGTCAGCCCGGGCGAGGACCCAGAAGGAACTCATGACGGCTCTGCGGGAGCTCAAGCTTCGGCTGCCCCCCGAGCGCCGGGGCAAGGGCCGCTCTGGGACGCTGGCCACGCTCCAGTATGCTCTGGCCTGTGTGAAGCAGGTGCAGGGTGAGTGGCGCTTCTGGGGGCGGCGTGGCAGGCCCTGGGCTGCAGCTGGGAGGGGGGCGGTCCGCTCATGAAATCCTGCGTGGCCCTCACCCTGCAGCCAACCAGGAGTACTACCAGCAGTGGAGCCTGGAGGAGGGTGAGCCCTGCGCCATGGACATGTCCACCTACACGCTGGAGGAGCTGGAGCACATCACCTCCGAGTACACGCTGCGCAATCAGGTCAGCCGCAGCCCCGCCTCGCCAGCCTGGGCACCGCCACCCCCAACACGCGCGGCTCCTAAATCCACTTTTGTCCCCGCTTCCCTGCCTAGGACACCTTCTCCGTGGCGGTCTCCTTCCTGACAGGCCGCATCGTCTACATTTCGGAGCAGGCGGGTGTCTTGCTGCGCTGTAAACGGGATGTGTTCCGGGGGGCCCGCTTCTCGGAGCTGCTGGCGCCCCAGGATGTGGGCGTCTTCTATGGCTCCACGGCCCCGTCTCGCCTGCCTACCTGGGGTGCTGGGACCTCGGCAGGTGAGGTCCCGGAGTGCTGGGAGGGGAGGGACAGGGGACCCGAGCTTTTCCTCGCTGCGTTCTTCTTGGCCCCGGGTGAGGTGCGGGGCTCTTCTTAGTGCTTTTCTGGTCTGTTCCAGGTTCAGGTGCCAAAGACTTCACCCAAGAGAAGTCTGTCTTCTGCCGCATCAGGTGGGTAGGGGAGGTGGGAGCCGCCCCCCCTCCCACCTTCTGCTCTCCTGCTGCTTTGGTGTGTGGGTCGTGACCTTGAAGTGAAGGGCGGGTGCCTCTCTACTGAGTCACTAATGCGTCTTTCTCTCCCTTGCTAGAGGAGGTCCTGACCGGGACTCAGGGCCTCGGTACCAGCCATTCCGCCTCACACCCTATGTGACCAAGATCCGGGTGTCCGAAGGGGCCGCAGCACAGCCATGCTGCCTGCTCATTGCAGAACGCATCCACTCGGGTTACGAAGGTGTGTACGCCACGGGCCTGGTCTAGTAGGAGGGAAGGAGGAAGGGTGACTTCTCTAGGCTCTGGGAGAGACACGACATGAGTCTGGGAGGCGTATCTCAGCTCTTGAGAATTTTGGAACTGAGAGGGTAGGTAAGGATGAACGTTTGAGGGGCGCCTGGGTGGCTCATTCCATTAAACGTCTGCCTTTGGCTCAGGTCATGATCCCAGGGTCCTGGGATGGAGCCCCACATGGGGCTCTCTTCTCAGCGGGGAGTCTGCTTCTCCCTCTCCTGCTCCCCCTGCTTGTGCTCTCTGCCCTACAAATAAAATCTTGAAGAGAAAAAAAAAGGATGAAAGTTTGACCCTGTTTTTAGAGGGAGTATTGGATAAGCACCCGGAGCTAGGAGCGAGGAAAGGAAACTGCTTTGATTCTCAGTTTCACTCTTGGTGTGGGGTAAGAGAATGGTCTGGACCATCTCTGTAGACTAGACGGCCCTGGGCAGAGCCGTGGGGAGGATTACCATGGGGTAATCCTCGAGGCTCGAGGCAGCCCTGGGGACAGAGAAGCTGGACCATTCTGGATAAAACGCAATGGCCACTCTCCCTGTGCCTCAGCTCCCCGGATCCCCCCAGACAAGAGGATCTTCACCACTCGGCACACCCCCAGCTGCCTTTTCCAGGACGTGGACGAAAGGTGAGCTCAGGACCTGGAGGAAAATGGGATGGCTGGGGGGCGCCTGGGTGGCTCAGAGGGTTAAAGCCTCTGCCTTCAGCTCAGGTCATGATCCCAGGGTCCGGGGATCGAGCCCCGCATCGGGCTCTTTCCTTGGTAGGGAGCCTGCTTCCTCCTCTCTCTCTCTGCCTGCCTCTCTGCCTACTTGTGATCTCTCTCTGTCAAATAAATAAATAAAAGAAAATGGGATGGCTGGGGCCAAGGCCACAGCCTCTCTGATGCCACTCCCCCTTTCAGGGCCGCCCCCCTGCTGGGCTACCTCCCCCAGGACCTCCTGGGGGCCCCAGTGCTCCTGTTCTTGCATCCTGAGGACCGACCCCTCATGCTGGCCATCCACAAGAAGAGTGAGTTTCTTTTTTCCCGCTCTGCCTTCTTGACCGTCTGCGGGCTTCTTGTGGTTCTACCTCTCGGGGCCTCAGTCCCTCGGATCTCCAGGGAGTGGCCCTCTGCTTTGCTCTTCTCTCCCTCCTGCTGACCCTCCCCTCCTTGCCCACACTCCTTCAGTCCTGCAGTTGGCTGGCCAGCCCTTTGACCACTCCCCAATCCGCTTCTGCGCCCGGAATGGAGAGTATGTCACCATGGACACCAGCTGGGCTGGCTTTGTGCACCCCTGGAGCCGCAAGGTGGCCTTTGTCTTGGGCCGCCACAAAGTACGCACGTAAGTGGGCCCTTCCCCAGAGCTGGCTTCATGGGTGGGGTCTATGCGGGCGGGGGCAAGTCTCAGCTTCCCATCACCCACCCTGCAGGGCACCCCTGAACGAGGACGTGTTCACACCGCCGGCCCCCAGCCCGGCTCTGTCTCTGGACTCCGACATCCAGGAGCTCTCGGAGCAGATCCACCGGCTGTTGTTACAGGTGACTGTGGAGGGAAGGGGCGGGGCGGTGAGGCAGGGGTGAGCAACAGGGCTGAGACCTCTAACCCTTCCTCCTCCCACCTCAGCCCGTGCACAGCCCCAGTCCCACGGGGCTCTGTGGAGTGGGCCCTGTCGCTTCCCCGGGCCCTCTCCTCAGCCCTGGCTCCTCCAGTGACAGCAACGGGGGTGACGCCGAGGGACCTGGGCCTCCTGCGCCAGTGAGTGTCCGTGTTCCACTCCCCCGCCCCAGCCTGGTGTCTCCTGGGTGCTGCCAGAGTCAGGGTGGGCAGGTCCAGAGGGGCTGAGCCCCATTCCTCTGCCTTTTCTTTCCCCTCCCGCTCTCACTGGGCATCCACACCTGCCCGCTGGTACCTCTTGGTGCTCTGCGCCCTGCCCCGACACTGGCTGCACACCCCCAACACTGGCCTGCTCTGTCCGGCAGGTGACATTCCAGCAGATCTGTAAGGACGTGCACCTGGTGAAGCACCAGGGACAGCAGCTTTTCATCGAGTCCCGCGCTCGGCCTCCGGCCCGGCCCCGCCTCCCTGGTCAGTGGGTGAGGGTGTGGGTGAGGACTGAGACCTGGGGGTCCCCTGACTTTCGCCCCAACCCAGAGGAGCTCGTCTCTCCCTTTTCTCTCCTTGGTCCAGCTACAGGCACATTCAAGGCCAAGACCCTTTCCTGCCAGTCGCCAGACCCGGAGCTGGAAATGGTCCCTGCTCCCCTCCAGGCCCCACTCGCCTTGACCCCTGAGGAGGCTGAGAGGAAAGATGCGTCCACTTGTTCCTACCAGCAGATCAACTGCCTGGACAGCATCCTCCGGTAAGGCCGCCCTGGGACCTGCTCCCACTTCGGCCCCGCCCCCCATCTCCCCCCAACCCCCACCCCATCCCCAACCCCTGAGCCCAGGCCTTGCCCTCCTCATGTGGTCTGGTCCCCCGCCAGGTACCTGGAGAGCTGCAACATCCCCAGCACGACCAAGCGGAAGTGTGCCTCCTCGTCGTCCTGTACTGCCTCCTCAGCCTCCGATGATGACAAGCAGAGGACAGGCCCGGTTCCTTTGGGGGCCAAGAAAGGTGGAGACCTGGCGCGTGTACTGCCCCAGCTGCCGCACCGTCCTGGCCTGCTGGCCCCATGTCTCTGCACTTCTGCCTTCCGGGGCTCCCGCCTTACTCTGCCCTGTCCCCCTCCCAGCCTTCAGATTTGCAGATTTCCCCCTCCTGTCCGTCCCCCGGCCCCATTTCTTCTGGTCGTAACTGGCACCGTCTCTCTGCGCAGATCCAGCACCAGCAGTGCTGTCCGGGGAGGGGGCCAGCCCACAGAAGGAGTCTGTGGTAGGAGGCGCCCTGAGCCCGCTCGCCCTGGCCAATAAGGCGGAGAGCGTGGTGTCTGTCACCAGCCAGTGTAGCTTCAGCTCCACCATCGTCCATGTGGGAGACAAGAAGCCCCCGGAGTCGGGTATGGGCGTGGAGACAGGGTTTCTTGGTGGCTCGGCCCGAGCTCCCTCCTACCTGCCTGTTCCTTCCCCGTCTGGCCCCTAACGGAGAGAAGGAGGCCCCCAGCCTAGCTTGGGGCTGCTGCCTCTTGCTGTCCGTCCCCACCAGCCTTTGCTGCCTTGTTCTTTCCCAGTCTTCTGTCAGTTTGCGCGCACAGCCTAGGGTGTGGGGCTCAAGCCTGAGGCGCCGACCCCAGAGTGTCTGAGGGCTAGGACTGTTGAAAATCCCCGAAGGGGCTTTGGGCTTAGTCCTGGAGCATGTGTGAGGGGAGAGAGAGTGAGGGGTGAGCTTCTCTTCCAAGGAGTGTCCTAGGACGTCATTCTAGGGTGCTGTCACTGGAGGGGACTCAGTGTCCTTTCTCACCTGGGGGACCGCATTGCACGGAGAAGAGGGTCCAGAACCGGTGCTCAGCAGGGAGGTCAGGGATGCACCCCAGGCCCGGGCTTGGCTGTGGGGCAGAGGCCAGGGGTTGGCTGGGCTGCTGGAGGGGGAGGGTACAGGGTGGCTCTGGGAATCCCCGAGGTGATTCTAATGACCTTTTCCCCCTGTGTCTCCTTTCCCAGACATCATCATGATGGAGGACCTGCCTGGCCTGGCTCCAGGCCCAGCCCCCAGCCCAGCCCCCAGCCCCACGGTAGCCCCCGACCCTGCCCCAGACGCCTACCGCCCGGTCGGCCTGACCAAGGCCGTGCTGTCCCTGCACACACAGAAGGAGGAGCAGGCCTTCCTCAGCCGCTTCCGAGACCTCAGCCGACTGCGGACACTTGATGGCTCCTCCCCGGCCCCCCTGGCCCCTGGCGAGCGAGGTAGCCACCTGGAACGTCCCTAAGCCTTGTCGTCTGCCTGGTCCAAGACCAGAATGTCATTTGTTGGGGGGGGGGGTGGCACAGAGGGGTCTTGAGGGAGAGGTTCCTGCTCCAGGGACCCAGGCTGGGGTGGCCTCCCCGACCCGGGCCATGCGTAGGGACAGGCCCCTGGCTAGCCTCCTCACACCGGGCGGGGGTTCCGGGCGGCAGCCAGAGGAGGGCAGCCTGGGGGGCTGGCACTGACATAGGCAGGCGAGGCGCTCTGCTCCAGGGAAGCTGCTTGGAGCCCAGCTTGGGGGCAGGGGCACAAGCACGGCCGCTACCAACCTAGGTGTCGCCGTTTAAGAGACCCGTGTAGACTCCTGGCCGGACAGGGGCCGGGCGAGCCAGGCCAGCTCCTGCCGGGGCTGGGGGCTTCAGGGGCAGGGTGTCAGCCCTCCAGGTGCCTGAGAGAGGCTCCCTGCAGGCAGACGCAGGACTCAGGACTGGGCTCTCCCACCCACCTCATCGCTCGAGCTAGGCCGAGCGCGGCCTCGACTGGCAGGAGGAGTGCCCAGGCTGGCGTTGCTGTGGGAGTTTGGCAGAGGGACCGGAGCCGCCTGCCCCCGTGTCCACGGACCCACCCTGCTTCCTCCCATTGGCCACCGGGCCTCTACCTTCCGTGCGCCCCCAGCTCCGCCCCACTTGTAACTTTTTCCCATCCTGGCTCCTTTTGCAATAAACCCCCCATGGCCCTGCCTTCTGTCATTCTTCCCTGAAGGTCCCCTCTCCTCCCCAGAGACCCCTCTTGATCTGGGGGGCCCAGAGGCCGAGCTCTCTCTGGGGCCTTCCCCTGCCCTCTTCCGGCTCAGAGTGGCAGGGTGGGGAGTACAGGGACGCTCACCCCCAGATCGAGGCCCTCGCTTACCCTGGTCTCTCCCCACAGGCTGCCACCACAGCCCCGCACCCCACGGTCGCCGACACCACTGCCGCTCCAAAGCCAAGCGCTCCCGCCACCACCAGACCCCCCGGGCTGATGCCCCCTGTTACAGCTCCCACCCACCGCCTGTGTCACCCTCGGCCCCCTGGCCCCCCCCGCCAGCCACTGCTCCCTTCCCAGCCATGGTCCAGTCCTACCCTCTCCCAGTGTTCTCCACTCGAGGAGGCCCCCAGCCTCTCCCCTCTGCCCCCACAGCTGGGCCCCCTGCAGCTTTCCCTGCCCCGCTGGTGACTCCCATGGTAGCCTTGGTGCTCCCTAACTACCTGTTCCCCACCCCATCTAGCTATCCCTATGGGGTAGCCCAGACCCCCGCCGAAGGGCCTCCCACCCCCGCCTCCCACTCCCCTTCTCCGTCCCTGCCCCCGCCGCCCCCCAGCCCTCCTCGCCGGCCAGACTCTCCGCTATTCAACTCCCGCTGCAGCTCCCCGCTCCAGCTGAATCTGCTACAGCTTGAGGAGCCCCCGCGTGTTGAAGGGGGCGCTGTTGCAGGGGGCCCTGGGAATAGTGCTGGGCCCCCGCCCTCCGGCGAGGAGGCCACTGAGCCAGAGGCCAGACTGGTGAGCACTGACCCCCCGCCACCGCATCCTCTTACCAGGCCCCATACAGCCCCCCTTCCCCCACTCCTCTTCCTCCTCGGGCCCCTCCCTGTCTCCAGCCCATCTGGTGCCTCGGTCTCCAGCAGATGGTGTCACAGGGTGGGAGACCCCAGCTGAATTTCTGAACGAGGCAGAAACCCGCCACCTCATCTGTGGAGTGGGGACGGTCCCGTCTGTCTGACAGGCGGCGAGGACATCCCCGTAACTTCTGAGAGCGCATCAGCCTCCTGGAAAGGGCTTGGTGTCGTGCCCCTTGTCTTTGGCAGCTGTCTCGTCTCTGCTCTCGGCCCGCGCTGTCCTGGAGGGGGGACAGAGAGCCCTGGGGTTGGGTGTGTCCCCCCTGCCAATGGAAGTAGTCGCGGGAAGCCTGGGTGTCGATCCCTTAATCCCGGCCTGTTCCCCTCCCTGCCCCCTCCCCCAGGCGGAGGTGACTGAGTCCTCCAACCAGGACGCGCTGTCGGGCTCCAGTGACTTGCTGGAGCTGCTGCTGCAGGACTCCCGCTCTGGCACGGGCTCCGCCGCCTCCGGCTCCCTGGGCTCCGGCCTGGGCTCCGGCTCGGGCTCGGGCTCCCACGAGGGAGGCAGCACCTCAGCCAGCATCACACGTGAGTGCCCCCGCCAAACACCTCTGCCCCAGGGCAGGACAGGGATGGGGCATTGGGAGGCTGAGCAGTCTGGGCCCTGTGGGCTGCAGACGTGGCCTTGAGGGAGGGCTTGGGAGGTCCTGGGGTGGGGCATTGGCCTGACTCTGGTGGCTGGGCACCCCCCCCCGCCCCCCCCCTCATAGGCAGTAGTCAGAGCAGCCACACGAGCAAGTACTTCGGCAGCATTGACTCTTCTGAGGCCGAAGCCGGGGCTGCCCAGGCCAGGGCTGAGCCCGGGGACCAGGTCATTAAGTACGTGCTCCAGGATCCCATCTGGCTGCTCATGGCCAACGCTGACCAGCACGTCATGATGACCTACCAGGTGCCGTCCAGGTGAGGAGGTTCAGAGCCCCCCCCCGCCCCCGTCAGAGCAGTGCTGGTCCACCTGCAGTTCCCCTGGAACTTGGGGTTTTCTTTTCCGGGGCTGGCTCTGCCCTGCCCCTGCCCACCCTCTCCCTTGCTCTCGGGAAACAAATGTCAGTTCCAGGGACGGGAATAAGCTTTCCTGGGCTCAGAAATCTCGAACCCCCAAAGCCCCAGTTGAAAAGAGGAGCAGGAGGCCATGGGTGGGGAGAATGGCAGCCTCCTGGGCTCTAGTCCTGGCTCCCGCTCCCAGCCTCTGCCATCGGAACTCCTTCCCCGGGCAGGGACGTGGCCTCTGTGCTGAAGCAGGACCGGGAGCGGCTCCGGGCCATGCAGAAGCAGCAGCCTCGGTTCTCAGAGGACCAGCGCAGGGAACTGGGTGCCGTGCACTCCTGGGTCCGGAAGGGTCAGCTGCCTCGGGCCCTCGATGTGATGGTAAGAGGCATCTGGGCCAGGAGGGAGAAGGGAAGATTAAGGCTGGGGCCGATCTCCTTCTTGTCCTTGGGTGGTTAATTCTGAAGAAGGTTCATTGCCCTGTTTGCTGCTGGGTTGGATAGTGTTTAACCACACAAGTCGTTAGAGGCCTTGTCTGGGCCAATCCTAGGCCGAACGACTTGTCTCCTAGTGGGTCTAGGTACGGGGTACAGTACACTTTCCTATCTCGGCCCGCGTGCATCTGTGTGGATGAGTGTTTCTTTGGGAGGACACTTTGGGAAGTACTCCTGGGCTGGGGGACAGGGGAGAGCTGGGGTGGCAGGTCACCTGGGAGCACCTTGCCCGACTCACGCCCTTTCTCCCTCCAAGGCCTGTGTGGATTGTGGCAGTAGCACCCAAGACCCTCAACACTCCGATGACCCCCTCTTTTCAGAACTGGATGGACTGGGACTGGAGCCTATGGAGGAGGGAGGAGGGGAGGGTGGGGGAGGGGAGGGCGAGGGCGGAGAAGAGACCCAGGCTCAAGCTGGGGCCAGGGTCTCCAGCTCTCAGGACCTGGCCATGGAGGAGGAGGAACAAGGTGGGAGCTCATCCAGTCCAGCCTTACCTGCCACAGAAAATGGCACCAGCTAGACCACATTTGGGGGCCCCCTGCGGCAGTGCATGAGAAGCTTCCTTCTCCCGTGTTCCACCTCTCAGAACTCCGATGTGGCTGGACCGACCAATAGGAAACTGCCCCAGCTTCTCCCTCTTAGGGGGCGGGACCCCCATCAGCAGCCCAGGATCCAGGGGCTGCCTCCGGCTTCTGGGGGTACAGAGGGGGGAATTCGTCAGCCCAGCCCAGAGAAGCCTCATCTCCCAGCTCTGGTGAGGAGCCCTTCCTTCCCCGGGACGAGGATGCTGACGCGCTGCTCAAGTGGTCTCCGAGTCCGGTCCCTGCGGGTTGGGGCTGCACTCACTCACTGGGGGAGACTGCCCTCTCTCCCACCTCCTCCCTAAAGGGGACAGGGAGGGCCCAAGCAGGACCCAGCGGTCCGAACCCCTAGCTGCTCCAGGGTGGGGGAGGTTGGTGGACCATGGAGTCCCTGGTGCTGCCCCTCAGGTGGGACCCAGGTGTTCTCAGCTGTACCCTCTACCGATGGCATTTGTGTTTTTGATATTGTGTCTGTTATTTTTTAATACAAAGAAGAAAAAGAAAACAGGACTTTGTGGAATGAAATGTGGGGGTTGGGGGCAGTGAGGTCGTTGTGGGGAGGTGTGGCCCCCCCCGCCAGGAAGGCTGTAGTGAGCGTGAGCGAACCCTCCCCTGGCGCCCCCCAGCCCTCTGCTCCGCACACCCTGTCCGGCGGAGGGGCCTTGCCGAGCCTGGAAGATGTCCACCTAACTGCGACCCTGCGCCCCCCCCTTCCCGTCACCTTGCGTCAGCTGTGTGTGTCGCGGGAAGGCGGTGGCGCCTGGTGCGCCCTCCCAGCCTGTGGGGGCCCCGAAGCAGGTGAGGGTGTTTGGCTGCTCGGTCACCCTGTCATCACGCAAGGGAAGGCCAGTCCAAGGGGGCGGCGGGACTTGAGGTCACGTACCCATCCACGGTCGAGTCGGGCCCCCGAGATGTGGGAGACGGTAGGGGCGGAGCGTTAAGCCACCGGCTCGGGACCTGGAGAAGGAGGGGAAAACCTTGGAACTCACGTCACGGAGGACCCGCGGCGACTGTTGTTCCGCGGGTCTTACCTGCCGACTCCCCCGAGTAGCTGATCTACCTTCAGACTGAAAGTGCCTCCTGCCGGCGCCGTGGCTTAGCTGGTTAAAGCGCCTGTCTAGTAAACAGGAGATCCTGGGTTCGAATCCCAGCGGTGCCTGGCCCCGCGTAAGGCAGTATATTATTGCTGCGAGGGCGACAGAGAGCGACGCGCTGCCCGCCTTCCGAAGCCCCGCCATGGGGCATCCGGCGTAAGATTCTTATTCCTCCCCGGCCAATCCCATCTGGAGCTTTCCTCTCGCGCGCACTTTTAGTGGAAATTCGCAGGCTGACTCCCGCTGCGCTTTCGGGAACCGGGGTGACGCGGGCGTCCCTTGCGTTCGAGGACGTGGGACCCTGGCTTTGGTCTCGGGCTCATTTTGCTCCGGCGGCGCTGAGCGGGGTTGGGGGGAAAGAGAGCGCTAGCGCCCCGGCCAGCCGCAGGGGGAGGCGCACGCGCACAGACGCCCCGAGGCCGGGGGGTGGGGCCGGCGGGAGGCGGGCCCGTTGATAGGCAGCTATAGTGGCGCAGGCCCCAAGCCGCACGCAGCTGTGATGGCCGAGTGGTTAAGGCGTTGGACTCGAAATCCAATGGGGTCTCCCCGCGCAGGTTCGAATCCTGCTCACAGCGTGTGTACTTTTGGGAATGCGCGCTACCGTAGCCTTCGGAGGAGAAAGGCATTCGTTTTCCTTGTGCTTTCCTTCTTCCCCCGGGGAAGATAACCGCGTTTATTCTCGGGGCCTTGGCCACCCGCGACCAACTCGCGGGCGCCCCCCTCGCGGGCCTTACGCTCCGGCCTGCGCCTCCTCCCACCGGCGTGTCCTGCGAAAGTCACTGAACTACTAATTTGAATCCTTCGCGTCCCCAAACACGGGTGGCAGTCGTCTTACATCCCCGTTGTCCCTCCCCCGTGCAAGTCTCCCATACCACTGTTTCATCTCTTCTTTCGCTCCAAACCACGAGTCCCTCTTCCCTCGGCCTGCCTTTCTGGTTCACTGAGAAAATAAGGCATTCTGGAGAGATTTCCCCACGGATATCCGCAATCTCACCTGCCTACCTACCTGCCTGCCTGTGGTTACATGCTCCTCCCTTCCCTCAATGGTGTAGATGAACCTTCCTTCCACCCAACCAAGGCCACGCCCTGCGCTTACCAGATCTCCCATTCCCCGGGCCCACAAGGGCTCAAGGACATTGCTCTCCGTCCTGTACCATCAGTTTTCCTCTCTAGCTGGAGTACTCCCATCACACATTCTGCACACCTTCTGAAACGACCCTGCACACATTCTGAAACGTATTCTGATTTGGAACAAGCAGGACAACAAAAGCTCTCCTGACACCACACACACCCCTCTCAGCTCCCACTTAGTCTCTCTGATCCCCTCCTCCACAAAACATGTTATCATTTACCTACTGTCGGCCAATTCCATCTTCCCATTCTCCTTTGAACCCTCTCCATTCAAGTGCCTCCCAACCCCATTGGTCCAAGATGTTCTTGTTAAGGTTACCAAATGACCATGCGTTGCTAAACCCATTGATCACTACTTACCCATGTTTACCCTCCCCTTAAAACCGCTCTCTTCACTTGCCCTCTGAGACTCCCTAACTCTTCTGATTTTCCTTCTACATCATTAGCAGCTCATGCACAGACTCCTTTGCTGGCTGATCGCCTTCTAGATCTATAAATGTCAGCACGTTCCCACCGTTCAGTTTTCCAACCTCTTCTCTATCTATACTCACACCCTTAGTGATCTCTGTAAATATCAACTAATAATTCATTAATGTATCCAAGATGTTAATCTCCAGCTCCACAACTCTTTCCTGAATTACAGATTTATATATGCTATTATCTACTTATCGTTTCCGCCTGGATATCTAATATCATTTTCGTTTGTGATATCTAATCACCAACAAAATGGCCAAACCAACTCCTGGCTTCCCCCGAAATGAGCTTCACCTGTAGGCCTTCTATCTCAGAAAGTTCCATTTCTTCAGTTGGTCAGACAAAAAACCTTAGGATCTTCCTCAATTCTCTCTCTTTCTCACACACACGCTCCACATTGAATCAGTCAGTAAGTTCTTATTTAAAACATGTTAAAAACTCGGCTCCTTGTCACTATGTCACCACTACACCCTGGTCTAAGCCACCCACATCTCTCACTGAGATTATTACAACAGCCCCCCTGATTATTTCCTTGCTTCCTTTCTTCTCCTTGTTCCTTTGCAGTCTACTCTGAACACACTGGGCATAGGGATACTTTCAAGACATAAATAAGATTCTGTCATTCCTCTCTTTAAAATCTTCCAAAAGGATAACAATATGAAGTCATGATTTTTAACGTGTGTAGATGTAGCAATAAATGTATGCTATAGTGACATATAAACATACATCCATAAACACAAACAAGCACACATATATACCTATATATTTCCTAGCTCTTTCCACTGAGAAAGCTTAGAAGGAATGATACACAAATAGCAATAAGCACACTAGGGACCAGATCTTGGTTACTAAATACCATTCTCCTCCAGCTGCTTGGGTGGCTCAGTTGGTCAAGCCACTGCCTTCTGCTTGGGTCATGATCCCAGGGTGCTGGGATCAAGTCCCGCACCAGGCTCCTTGGGGAACCCGCTTCTTCCTCTCCCTCTGCTCCTCCTGCTCTCTCTCTGCCAAATGAAAAAAATCTTTAAATAAATGAATGAGTGAATAAATAAATAAATACCATTCTCCTCTAAAATAAACCAGGGCTCCTACAGACAAAGGCTGATTCCAGGGCTTCAGTTAGGGAATTACAAGATGGTCTTGCAACATTTTGTTACACAGGAAATTAATGTTCAAAGAATTTGGGGTCTCTATTGAAAAAATAAAAAGACATAGCAGGGAGGGGTTACAGCTAAAGGAGCTCCTGCTGGCTAAATCTGGGACAAACTGAGCATTAAAATCAGTAGTGATTATGATGGATTATAATTCCTTGAATCAGGTAAAACTCCAAAGTTCGTAACAGTATAAATAAGTAAAATGGGAAGGAAGGGGATGGCTTTTTTTTTTTTTACAGTAAACTGGCAGCTAATAAATATTGATTTAGAAATCGTCAATGAATACAAAAGTAGAGAGTGAAACTCAATGGGGCTGTAAGTGGCAAAGAGTCTCAGGGTATGTTCCAACAAGTTATATATTAATTACTCCTCGGAGCTGGGAATAACGTTACAGTGCACAGCCCTGGCCAACACCATCGAACCAAGTGACCAAAGTCAGCATCTCAGTGTCGAGGCAAACTGACCCTGTGTCTTCTGATGCGACAACACGGAAAATGGAGAGGGACCTGGTGTCACTTCAGTGGTGATGTCCCTGCCAAGAAGACATACTCCGAATAATTTGATTCTAACCATGAAGAAACATGGTACCCACCAAACAATGGTCCGAACTCTTCAAAACTGTGAAGATCAACAGCGAAGCTTCTTCCAGATCAAATGAGATGGAAGGGACCTGGCCCTGAAACGCGACCACATGATCCTGAACTGGGACCTGCGACAGGATAAAAGAGCTCCGCGACATCCCTGAAACACTTGTGGAAATTTGAATATAGACTGAGGGATGAAATAATGGTATTATATTAATTTTCATATCCCGATAGTGATAATATTGATAACTGTACAGTTGAAAGTGTTAGAAACAAGACCAAAAAAAAGCTAGTTGTGGGGGTGGAGGAGAGAGCCCTCCCATGCACCCTCATCTCCCTCAGAAATGGGTGATTCCTGTCAAAGTCCTGGGAACCGCCTGTAGGATCCCAGGGGATCAGGCCCCGACCCCCCCTTCTCTCTCTGATCTCAGCTCTGGGGCTACCTTCACTCTGGCCCGGCCAACCTCGTCCCAGGCCTGCCATCTGCTCCTTTGACAAACCAGGCATGGTGTCCCTCAAGACTTTCCTGCCAGCCGATCTCTGCCGAAGAGCTTTTCCCCCAGGCATTCTGGCCGCTCTCCCCTCCTAAATTTCACCTTCTCAGTCCTTCTCTGCTCATACCCTCTGCCGTTACAGATCCCACTCTCCCCTCCTTTGCTGGCTTTTCTCCAAAGCACTTAACCGCCACCTCACAAATCCATTTTGCATTATGTTCCTGTGACTGTTTCCCCTACAAGAACGTCTGGCCTATCAGAGTGGGGATTATCCCGTTTTTGTTTTGGGCTCTTTGGTGATTTCCATCCTAATTCTTCCCTTGCCCCCCACCCCCCAACCCCAGGGCCTGGTCCTCCTACTTCCCAACCCCCAACCCCCTAGGACCCAACCCTCCAGGAACTCCCCCTACCCAGGACGGGGTGGGGAGGGTGTCCCAGGAAGCCAGCCTCCCCTTTGAAGAACAAAGAGGAAGGAGCCAACCTTGGAACCCAGGCCTGGGGAGACGTCCCAGCGGGGGAGGGGAAGCTCCGGACACTCCACCAGCTGTGCTGTCTCAGTTCC